ACCCTCTAGAAAGACCCCCCCCGGCCTCCCCCCCCCCCCCCAACCCACCCAGCCACAACATGGTGAATTCCTCAGGGAGGTGCCAGCCTCATCCTCTTGAAGTTCCCATGCTCTTGCGGTGAACTAAGAAAACACTTATCTCCCTGAGCCTAGCCTTCATAATTCCATTCCATCACAGGCTGATTCCAAATTAATTTCCTAAAGGGATGGTGAACTCTACTGAAAGTATGCACTGAAGAACTCAAATTATTCAAATTATTATTTTATTACATGCCAATCTTTGCTTTAAAAAAAACAGTATTGTCCGGTAACCTGTATCTAAAGTTAATAGTGCTATGAGTTTGCTTCTGATTATTGTGAAGTGTTGTATCATTGTGGTTTTGCCAAGAATGACAGATCTACCACCAGGTATGTATTGAAAATATTAGACAACACCAAAGGGGAATTAAAAATCTGTCATGAAAATCCTGATAATCTTTTAGCATGTCTATTCTAATGAACTCTGTTTAACGGACTGCCATTAAAAGCAGTCTAGAAACCTCACTTGCATTAGCCCGAAGGAGCAAGTAGAGGCTATTCATTGTTAAGTCTATTGATTTTAAATTTGGTTTGGGGCTAAATACATTATTCTAGGTTTTGTCTTTGTATTTTGTGCCCATGAAACTTGAGATGTGTCTTTTTCTTTATTTTCCTTTCTATTGTTGGGATTTCAAGAATGAAAATGAATTGAAACAATCCATCCATTGGCTCCAAATTATTTTTCTATTTATGGTCCTTTACTTTGGAATCAGCTGTTAAAGTTAATAGAAGAAAATGGGAAAACTAGCCTTTTTACTCAAGCAAGCCCTTTATATCTTAAAAGGTGTTTTATTACCATTTATCCTTTTTAACTCTGACATATTGTATTTTATCATTATACTGATTAGATCTAGAATCTTTTAAGGATCATCTGAATTTTTGCATCCCAGATCTGGAGGCCCAGTGTGAACTCAGCCACTGTATCTGTTCCATAAGATTTGTTGTGAACTCCTTTTATTTCCGTGCAAATAATGGAACAGGGTTATTGTAGCTGATCACTGCTGCTGTTTCAGATGTTTTCAGATGCTGTTGTGAGTGTATCTTCCTTGCCGGTAGACAGGCTCAGATGTTCAATATGTATAGAATACACATTTTCATATGGGAGAGATAGTCTCTCTGTGACATACATAGAACTCCTCTTTCTTTGATGGAGATAGGAAAACTGGGAGTCCTTTTAAAAGAAATAGATTTTACTTTGGAATTTTTAGAAAAAAAGGAAAAACAGGAGGGGAAGCAGATATATATTCCAGTTTGGAAATCCTGCTGTTTTCAAAAGAAATAGCTAAATATTCAAGCTGGAAATTGTGTTAAGTTTTTAATTTTTGTTTTCTGTTCAGTGTTTAAATCTCATGTCCTCTTCTTTTTTTAAAATTTCTTTCCATACAAGCTAGTGAATTCCACTTAATTTTAGCCCTTAGTCCTTACCCACTCTTCAGGTTGAGCATGAAGATTTACCGTCAGGTCCAGAAATATTGGGACATCGACACAATTCTAACATCTTTGGCTCTATACACCACCACAATGGATTTGAAATGGAACAAACACAAT